TCTACTTTGAACAAAATTTTCCATCTGATCTGGATCAAAGAATACAGGATTTGCCATTATAAATGATAAGATAGCTCTTCAAACAAGAGCTTAAGTTCTTTCAGTCTCAAAGCATAACTCAGAAACCATTTTTTGACTATTCATAAGAATCCAAGCAGTATTGGGCAGGAAGACCCTCAACATTTTCTGAATGTCAGCCTACATGAAGTATGTAATCTTGTTCACTTAAACACACAAAATTAACCAACTGAATCTATGCAACAGAAGGAATATCTGTATTCAATACCAATACAAATGCTGTATCATTCTCTGACAAAAATGGATTTACCTTGAGCAACAAAAGGCGTATTGCCAGTCAAAATAATATTATTGCTCCTAGGAGAAAATTATTTTCCCCTGAAGGACAAAAAAAAAGTTCTCTTTGACACATGTTTTTAGCCTAGCTAAAACTGTTTTGTGATGAATAGAGCCAGATGAAAAATGTTTTAAAAAACCCTAAAACTTAAGATTTAGGCCTCTCTGGCTGCATGCCTTTCCTCCCCCAAGCCAAGCTCTCCCCAGGCCTGATTCCTAAAGGCACTCTTCTTCCTGTTCTTAAGTGTGCCCTAAAGACTTCTTCCACAACGTCCATAAGAGAACCAAAATGAACAAATAACCAAAAATCAGTCTCTACACTTTCTAGCACATTTCATCTTCAGTGGTTCTATGAACACTGTAAACTTTGTGAAGAAAGAATTATCTTCTTTTTCCAGCTTGTATAACACTGAACATGTTTGCTGTCATTAATAATATTCTCTCTCTGGATTGAGATTTCTTAAGATTAATATTATCTATTCAAATAAATTATTAATCTTAAAGAAATCAGGAGCTTCCATTTCTTTGTTTTCAACCTGGCAAAACATACTTTACATTTTCAACCTGAAGGTCTATAAAGTATAGTCTAAATAGAATATTTTGCTCTACAGAAACAAATTGCAGCAAAACACAGGTATACAAGGAGCAGGGTTGTCAGAAGAGCCAGTATCAGGAACGGGTCAATCAAGGCCTGCTGGCAAAGCAGAAAGAAACAGGTTCAGAGGTCTGCTCTGCACTATGGTCCAAACTAGCTATCAAAGAATGAAGGACTTGCATGGACTATTGATTAAATGAGTTGGCTTAAGCCATAAGGTCCCAAGACAGCATGATTTTTAGGCCTATTTTTACATGTGTAATATTACAGAAAAGCCTTAGTGGAGCTGCTTGGGTCACTAAATTATTTAAAAACCATTTCTCCTATATAGAAGGACAGTCAGCAGCCTGCCCAAACACTTCCAAAATGTAACAATAAAGCAAAAAAGTGTATACAGAAAATAAGGCTGCAAAAAAATACATAAAAATCCCTTCCTCTTTTTGATTTGAGTGAGCTAAAATTCCCCACTATTACTAAATCTAAGGAAAGATCAAGCATTATAACTAACAAATGCAAGAAAATAACAGAGGAAGTAAAATTATAGGAAAAATAGAACTGTTCACTCACATCAGTATCAGAATGGCGGCTAGGAGGGTGGCAGCAGTTCTTAATCACAGAGAATGCTAAATCTTGCTCACATCAGGTCAAAGTGCAGCCTTTTCGGCAGATCAGCATCTGGTACTAACTGTTATTACTCCAGTGAAGTTGGGAAAACCTGTGTTATACCCTGCTATACACATTTAGCTAGCTGTATTTGTCCAGACAACTTCCCTGGTCTCAGGCTAAACTGAACTCATTTACTGTCCTTCACCAGCAACACTCCTAAGGGCATTTCTACATTTTCTCATGATAGATCTTTAAAATGGATATTGTTCTTCCTCTCTCAAATTGCCTTTTACAGTCTCATTACCTATATGTGTGTGCACACTAAAGCAAAAGCAGCAGTGAAGGGCCTGGGGAACTTAAGTACCTAAGGTGAAACACCTGGATGGGGACCCGATTTCCAGAAAATTTTGAATACCTGCCCTTTTTTTTTTTTTTTTTAACATGCACACACACACCATAAACACAAGCTCATTTCAAGGTTGAACACTCAAAATCATTTGTCAGTCTAGCAAATGTTAGCCTACACTCTTATTCAAATGGATTGCAACTCCCCCCCCCCCTTGTAAAGCTAAAACAAAAGAATGGAATACATTGTCCTAAAATAATCATAAATGCAAGACCTGAGAAGATTTCCTTAGTCAAGTAATTAATGTTTGGAAAGTTACACATCAGACTTAAAACTTCATTCTCCCCATTTGAGGGGAAACATAACTGACTTCTATTTTAATGTAACATTTTGAGACTGTTTCTATACAAAAAGAACAAATACCTGAAATTGCCAAGACTTCATGCTGAGGCAGTACAGTACTTTCTATTATTTTTCTATGCCACAAGACTACAGCCCCTTGGTATATGTCTACATACAATATATTTAAGCAAGATTTTTCTCCCCGGCAGCTGCTACCCCATAGATGGCATTGCCATCTTGCTCCTTCATCCACCCATGACTGGAGAGGAAAAGTAACAAAAACAAGTTTTCAAACTTCAAAGTAAGTAAATAAATAGTTTATTCACTGAAGCAGAATAAAACCCCCAAATAACCCCCCTATGCATATAGCAATTTATAAAATTCTAAAAATACAGTAAGTTCTGTTTTAAGAGCATAGCCACAGGCTGAAAAAAGGCTGCCCAATTATTGAGGCTGCACCAATCCAACTTAATGTAAGCAGTGTTAATTGAGTACAGGGTGCTGTTGCATTAACAAGCCTAAAACTAATTAATCCCCCTCATTTTCAAAGCTTCTAGAAGCAGTTCTCTGACAGCTGCTTCCTCTTCACTGTTTCTCTGACAATTGAAGTACAATTAGTTATAGAGTAAAAGTCACAGTTAATATGCAGGTAGCAGGAGTACAAGTTACAAAGTAGACAGTGGGGGCTGAAAGATGCTATGCTCTTGTCTTAAGCAAGTTATGCACTTGACTGATATGCAGGTAACTGATGATTGCTTACATTGTAAGCAACAGATGAACTGGGAGTGACATTGTGTTATGCATTTTAGCTAATTATGCACTTCAGTAGATATACAAATGGAGCTCACTACAGCAAGAAAGGCCTTGTAAAGCATTCCTCAGTTGCTTCCTTCATTGATTCTTTCAGTGACTTGGTATTAAAGACATGTAACCTGTGTGCATCCACATTACAAACCGAATCACATGAGCCTTTAATGATACATGTCTCTGAACAGAGATTAAATGTAAGGTTATTCTCCACAACCCACACTTGCAATCTCGCCTTACCCATTTTGCTACTTTACTGCTCTGCTTTTAAGTCTTCCAAATCCTGTGGAGCCAGTCATAGCACTTTAAAAATTGCGATGAATCTGCGACCTTTTGCTGGCCATGACTTTAGTCTATTTGTATTGGTATAAACCCCTATCTGTAAGATGGTGCCGAACCAGCCTAACAAAACTGCACTCAGACTAAAGTCATGGCTATGTTAGTCGGAAGTCAATCAGAGAGCAGGCTAAATATGCACCTTATAGACTAACTAAATAAGATAAATAGAGAGGGTACACAAGCTTTTGTGAACCTAAGTTCATTTCATCAGATGATGTGAAAGGATATGCAGAAAGCAGAGTATAAGGAGAGATGCTCATATTCTGCTTTCTACATGTCCTTTTAAAGCATCTGATGAAATTAACTTGGGTTCGTGAAAGTTCGTGCTCACTATATATAATATTATTTAGTTAATATATAAGCTGCATATAAGCTGCACCTTCTGATTTGCCATCTAAACCACATTGCAAACAACATTCAAAGACATTTGTTCAAATTTTACAAGGCTCCAACACACTAGAGGTATAAAACTTGAACTTTATGGACAGGATGCTTTTGCTTTTCATTCAATAGAATATCAAGCAAGAGTGACAAGTGTTCCTATAGAATAGAAAGCAAGAAAGAAGCATGCAAATGACTTCAAAGCAACAGCCTTTAATCCTTACAGGATAATGCCAAAGCAAAATTGAAGGTAACCCTTCTCATTCTACCTTCAACATTTATGAATTCAGTTCATGGCCAAAGCAAAGAGAACTATATTCTGGGTAAGAAAGAATGTAGTTCTAGCACATCATAGCAGAACCTTCTCTGTTCTAGCACAATGTCAGGCTTATTTACATTCCTACAACAAATAGCACATTACAGCTCTTGTATACCACGTAGAATATTCCAAAAATGATCTTTGTAGAGCTACAGACCTCAGTATGTTTAAAAAAAAAACAATTTATGTCTTCTCTTAAACAACCAAAATCCCTTCTCCAGCCCATACTCTCTCTTTTGCAAAGAAAATCTTTAAATGCCATGTTACTTTCTGTTACACCAACCTAGCCTATCTTTTAGATCATATGCAAAGCCTTCTGTTGAGAAGTGTGCGTCTACCAGGCAGATGCATGAGATTTTTAAATGCAAAGTGTGCCATAAAAATGAAATCGAATATGTAAGTGATCCACTTGACATGGGCTTGTTTTCTAAGGAATGTTCTGATTGGTAACCTTTAATCCCCCTTGCTTTTAGACAATTCTTTACAACATCTATCTATATCTATATAACTTAAATCTCTTATTCCGGAGGCGAGATCATGGGGATTGGTAGCTCACCCATGTCAAAAATTTAAATTAGTCTACAAGAGAAGAAAACAGATGGAAATGATGGTCTAAAAGCTTTTGAATTTGGAACAGGCAGTGATGCATAAACCAAAGTCAAGACGATGATGATTATGACAAAGAGTTATTTAAAAAATTTTTTTAATCAAATTAATCTTCTGCAGTGAAGCATGGGTTCAGCTAGTAAGGATTCAAATGTTGATCATCCAGGCTTCTTAAAATATAAGTAAGCATATGAGGACTAACCACAGGACACAGCTTTGATAAGAAACAATTCTTAAGAAGTGCAAAACCTAGGAGCCATAGGTCCCCTGCTAGGAACTGACATTCCAGACGTGAGGATATTTACCTCCTTGAAAGTCACAGAGCCAGTGCCTTGCCTTTTTCCCTCTTCCCAGGCTTCCAACAGCCAACAGTTCTCTTAAGCCCTGGAAGGGTGAAATATGAGGCTAAAAACAGATGACTGTTTATCCCAAAACTGGACAGAGCAGTCTAGATGTGGCCTCAGCCGTGCCAAGTAGAGAGGAAGTGATTCTTCCCTTCTATCTAGCACTGGTGAGGCTACATCTGGAGTACTGTGTCCAACGCCCCGCAAGGATATGGACGAAGTGGAGGACAACAAAAATGGTGAGGGGGCTGGGGCATGATTTCTAAGGAGAGGCTGAGGCAACGGGAGAAGAGAAAGGGGGGGGGGGATTTAACAGCAGCTTTCAACCACTGAAGGGGGGTTATAAAGAGGCAGCAGATGACAGGACACAGCCCAATGGTTTCAAGTTGCAGCAAGGAAAGTTTAGGTTGGGTAGGGTATTAGGGCAAACCTGCTCATGAGGACGGTAGTAAAGACAGGCTACCCAGGGAGGTGGGGGATCTCCATCCTTGAAGCCCCCACTACACAGAGCCCTGGCTGGGATGATCTAGCTGGAGCTGGGCCTGCTCTGCACAGGGGGGCACTCATGGCCTCCTGAGGCCCCTTCCCACCTTCACTTTCTACCACCGTGATCTCCAGGCTCATCGCCCGGGGCTTTGACTCCCACCAAAAGCAGCGGGGATGGCAACTGGCTCCGTCCCATTGTCCCGGGGCACAAACACGAGCGGCTCCACCGCAGCGGGCGGCCCCGAGCAGGGACGAGTCCTCGCCCGCCCCCGAGTGACCGCGGGGCCTCGGGCCCACGCGGCTGCCCCGCCTGAACCGCCCGCGCTCCCGGCGCCCAGCCCTGTGCCGTGGGCTGGCGGACCCCGGAGCAAGGGGGCGGGGGAATAAAATGGCTCTTCT